GAGGCATGGCTAAAATGCATGATCTGTTTGTGAAGTTTTTTTTTCAAAACACGAGACATGTTTTATATAGGTATGGCCCTACAATATATTTTTACACACACACGGTGCTGCGCGGTGCTCCGTACACACACACACTCGGAGCTCAGGCTGTGAGTGTGTGTGTGTGTGCACTCAGGCTGAGCTCTGCGGTGTCTCGCAGGCCCCACGCAGCAACCAGGAAACGACATCAGTAATCCAGCTCACACTGTCCGCTCCTCGAGCCTCAAAGGGCAGAGCAACGTCCCGCCAACACGGCACCCAGACCCCACGCAGCATTCTCATCTGTTTGTCAATACTGGTGTCATTTTCTGGTTGTTAAACGCCATTGTAACACATAATCACTGATGTCCAGCTGTAACGGTGGTTGACTCATCAGAACAGAGTGGGCGAGCTGACCAATCAGAGCACAGTGAGCTCATAGGGAGCGGGGGGGGGGGGGGCAGGAGCTCCAACAAGGCGTGTAGTACAGAGAGTGAATACATATACTATACAGAGATGCTGTATGAGAAAACCAATGTGATTTTGGAACATTAAACAATGTAAATCTATTCTAGTAGACCTCAACAATGGAATTATGATCAGTCGAAATGGCCATGACATGGGACCTATAATGAACGAATAGATAGTAGGGCTGGGCAAGTTAACGTGTTATTATCGCGTCTCAACCAATGAGAGCATTTAGGGCGGGCCTTAGACTGCTGCAATGCTCACATGAACCAACACATAAAATAAATGGCGGGGACAGAAACATGAAGAAAGGTACCAAACTCTTACATGGACATTTCGTATCTGTTCCAGGCATTGAGTGACAAGGAATAGTTTAAATGCTACTCTGTAAAGGGAATATGCCTACTATCTCAGTGCTGCGTTTGACACTGTTGACCACAACATATTACTCGACCGACTAGAAAACTGGGTGGGACTTTCGGAAACAGTTCTAAATTGGTTTGAATCCTACTTAAAGGACAGAAACAACTTTGTTTCTATAGGTACATACACATCTGAGTTGACAAATATGACATGTGGGGTACCTCAAGGCTCCATCTTGGGGCCTCTTTTCTTTAACATCTACATGCTACCACTGGCTCAGATAATGAAAAACAACAAAATAAGTTACCATAGCTATGCGGATGACACACAAATTTACATACCAATTTCACCAGGAGACTATGCTCCAATTCAAACACTGAGTAAGTGCATTGAACAAATCAATGACTGGATGTGTCAGTACTTTCTCCAATTAAACAAAGATAAAACTGAGGTAATGATTTTTGTAGCCAAGGCAGAACGTATAAAAGTTAGCGCTGAGCTTCAGTCTGCAATGTTCAAAACAACAGATAAAGCCAGAAATCTCGGTGTAGTCATGGACTCTGACCTGAGTTTCAACAGTCACATTAAAACAGTTACTAAATCAGCCTACTATCACCTAAAGAATATATCTAGGATTAAAAGACTAATGTCACAGCAGGATTTGGAAAAACTTGTCCATGCTTTTATCTTCAGTAGACTGGACTACTGTAATTGTGTCTTTACAGGTCTCACTAAAAAATCTATTAGAAAGCTGCAGCTAATTCAGAACGCCGCTGCTCGAGTCCTCACTAACACTAAGAAAGTGGATCACATCACTCCTGTTCTGAAGTCTTTACACTGGCTTCCTGTGTGTCAAAGAATAGATTTCAAAATACTGCTGCTGGTTTATAAAGCTTTGAATGGTTTAGGCCCAAAATACATTTCTGACCTACTGCTAAATTATGAACCATCCAGATCTCTCAGGTCTTCAGGGACTGGTCAGCTTTCTGTCCCCAGAGTCAGAACTAAACATGGAAAAGCAGCGTTCAGTTATTATGCTCCAAATATCTGGAACAAACTCCCAGAAAACTGCAGGTCCGCTGTAACTCTGACTACTTTTAAATCCAGACTAAAGACTTTTCTTTTTGCCGCTGCTTTTAATTGAACTATTCACATCTTAAACTGCACTGTAACTTTTATCCATGTATTTTTTCTTTTAATGTTTATTTTATTATCTTTTCTTTTTAATGACTGACTTTAAATGCCATTTTCTTAATGTCTTTCGTTTTTTGTAAAGCACTTTGAATTGCCTTGTGTTGAAAGGTGCTATATAAATAAACTTGCCTTGCCTTGCCTTGCCTTACTAGTAGGGATGCTCCGATCTACAATTTTGGGGCCGATCGCCGGAATCAGTATCGGCCGATACCGATCGCTGGCCGATACCGATCGCCGATCCAATCGAGTGGGCGGGGCCTATGGGGATCTTCCATTTAAAGTAGGGCTGCTGATCGATCGGAGCATCCCTGCCTACTACTGTTAAAAATAACCTTATTTGTTTAAAATAAAAATGCGCAAAACACAACTTTTGAATTAATTATTTAATTGTTTGCATAACAATGCAATTAATCGCAGAATCATGATTAAAATGTTTAATCGTTACTCAGCAATAATAAATAGTCTTAAGTGTTACCAAAGACTTTAACGTGTTACCAAAGAGTTTAAAGCAGGGGTGTCCAAACTTTTTTCCCCGAGGGCCACATACAGAAAAATATACGAAGGGCTGGGCCACTCATAAAGGTGAGGTATATCGCCTCGTAAATTAAGTTATAAGTTAGCTAAATGTAGGTAAATCAGGCTTGATACATTAATATGCTTTAAAAAGGTCCCATGACATGGCCATTTCTACTGATCAGAATTCCATTGTTGAGGTCTACTAGAATAGATTTACATTGTTCAAAGTTCCAAAATCACATTGGTTTCTCATACAGCATCTCTGTATAGTATGTGTATTTTAGGCCTGTCATGATAATTAATTTTGTTGGACGATACATTTTCCCGGAAATTAGTGCGATAAACGATAATATTGTCGGCACCGTTGTAAGACCATTTTAGACCACTGACATAATGATAATATATAATAATAATTCAAGTACATCCTTTCAAACAGAACTTTTTATTGAAATAATATTCACATATATAAATTATATATAATAAATAAAACAAATTAAATTATAAAAAATTTATTAAATCAAACACAACCAAAACAATTAATTAATTAAATAGACTCAAGCTAGAAAACAGAGCTCTCTCTCTCTCATATATATATATAAATAAATATGAGCACACATTGTCTCACAACCAAAAAAAACTCCTTAAAATAGCAGTCATGTGTACAGTCCACGATACAAAGACCCAGATGCCTCAACAGGCCATGTCCAAATCTGTTTTTCAAAGATTTTGAGCAAGGAACACCAACATGTTTGCATTGGCGGGTAAATGCATCTTTGATTGTAAACTGTCGGGAAGGTGGGGGCTCTCCATCTCCAGCTGCCATGTTTGCTCCCAGCTGGGAAAATTGAATGGGGTGGTTGTGTTTCAGATGCAGTTTAAGGTTGGTCGTATTGCTAGCTTTTGTTCCTACCTTTTTTAAACAAATGTGACATACCGCCCGGCTCATTCAAGTCCGTAGGTTCAGCTCGTTGATTTGGCTTAAATCCTAAATATTCCCACACCGGAGATGTGGTATTAGGTTTTGCAACCAATTCCATTTAACTTCAAATTCCCCTCAAGTAAGTCACACGTTGTCTCCTGCTTGTCTCTATATTATTAATTTGGCTGCTACACTGTTGCATGCGGAGTTTCCTGACTTGGCTGTGTGTGAGCCCTGCCCCTCACAGCGCGCCGGGCTAAAATTCTGGTCACATCCTTATGTAAACAAACATGCATGTGAACGGCAATTTTTCGAGCTCAGAAAAGTTATCGAGTCCATTTTTATTTATCGTAAGATATCGCGACAGAGCTATGTGTATTCACTCTCTGTCCTAAACGGCTTGCTGGGGCTCCTGCCCCACCCCCCTCCCTCCCTATGAGCCCACTGTGCTCTGATGAGTCCACCACCGTTACAGCGGAACATCAGTGTTTAGGTGTTACAATGGCGTTTGTTAGCAACCAGAAAATGACACCAGTAATAACAAACAGATGAGAATGCTGCGTGGGGCCTGGGTGCCATGTTGGCGGGACGTTGCGTGGCTCGCTGCTGCGCCCTTTGAGGCTCGAGGAGCGGACAGTGTGAGCTGGGTTACTGGTGTCGTTTCCTGGTTGCTGCGTGGGGTCTGCGAAACAGCGAGACACCGCGGAACTCAGCCTGAGCACACACGTAAACTCACAGCCAGGCTGTTCGCCACACAGTTCGCCACACAGTCAGTGTTTTCTCCGCTTACCAACGTTCAGGGAGCTCTATGCAAGTCAATGGGACTCCCTGATAGTTGAAAATCGACGCTAAAGGTCCCCCCACTGCGTTTGATAGTCACGCCGAGGGATTCTGGTGTGTGAGGAGCTCCATTTGGGCATGGTTACATCACCATACTTGGGAAGAAAACAATGGAAAAAGAGAAATCTCCAATGAGGCGTTCTGGGGCAGCATAGAAAGGTATTTTCTGTGTTAGAGTTGTACTCGCTACAGGGTGTACTTTGAGGGCTTGTGACTTTGCAGACCGTTTACACCGTTTTTTTATGAAAAGCTACACACACAAGGGGATGGTTAATAACCGGAAAAGCATTCTTTAAGAAAAAAACAGCCTACATCACAGCTCTATATAGGGTTTCATGTATCTTGTTGGTAGCTCATCCCTTAAAAAATGCTTAGTAATTAAGTTATTAGGCTTTTTTTATATCATCAAAGATTTGTTAGAAAATGTTATTAACATGAATTGACGGAATTTATTTAAAAAGTGGGCTTATTAACACATGAATACTACTGTCCAATATATTTGTACATATATATTTAAGAATTACAATATGAGAAAAGCACAAGTTTAATTTGTGGGCCATATTTCATTATACTTTTTGAATTAGCTGAGGGCCGATTCAAAATGGCCAGGGGTATTTGGCCCCCGGACCGTAGTTTGGACAACCCTGATTTAAAGTGTTAATTAAGAGTAAATGGGACATACCTGCTCTGTGTATCCGAAGCTGAGGCTGTAAAACAGCGTCCAGTAGTTTCTGGAGTCTCTTGTTCTCCTCTTTTGAACGAGACAGCTCCTCCTCGTACTCTGCCATCGTTTTTTCAAACAGAGCAAATATCTCTTCACCAGCAGGAGTGAGTAGCAGCTTCTTCAACGAAAGCAGCATTTGGACTTTACTCATGTTTACTAGATCACCTTTTCCTGCAAACTCCGTTAAACACACTGTTTCTCTCCATCAAATTCACAATCTGATTAGTGTTGCCAACGTGTTTCCAGCTAGCATGCTAAACTAGCTCCTATAGTCCGAGGTAAACGCTCCAGAAAAAAGAGCACACAGTCCATTCGGAGGATTATCCAAACACACAGATTATGGATCAGTAGTGCTGGAGCTCACACAATGTCTCAGGAACACACAGAGAGAGAGAACCGTTGCGACCTAGCGACGAGAAGCCACCTAGGTTCTTCTTCTTTTCTTTAATGGCGAATCGCTTCCACTTGAAGCATATATCGCCACCTACTGTTGATTTATTAAATGTTCATATTAAATCCTTGTCCTCAGACCAGTGTTTTTGAGGAACTTGAAGATCAGCTTGTTTACTTCATTTCTTGATTTACTTTCGTATATTGACTTGAAATCCATGTCCTTGATGTTATGTTGTTCCAGTGCAGTTTTCAGAATGAGTCTTTGTCTGTTATATTCCGCGCAGCTAACAAATACATGATGTATTGTCTCTGGTTGTTGGCAACCATCACAATTGCCATTTGGATGTTTTCCAATCAGATGCATTGTTGAGTTTAATCCAGAGTGACCCAATTGTATCCTGCTGTTAATGCTCTGTTCTCTTCTACTACTCCCCCAAGTTCTTTCCGTTCCTACTTCCCTTTGTATCTGGTATACATGTCTTCCTTTAGTGTTACTGTCCCATAATTTTTGCCATTGTTGCTTGATAACAACTTTTGTAACAGATTTGACTTCTGTTCTACTGATGGGTACCATTATATCAATCTGGTTTGCTTTCAAACCACATGTTGCCAGTTGATCCACTACCCCATTCCCTCTAATACCCACATGCGCTGGAACCCACACAAATTGAACAACAATTCCCAAATTAACTAACCTAAATATGATGTGTAAAATGTCATGTAAAATATCCTGACGACATTCTGAAGTGAAGCTGTTTATACTCTCCAGATCTGCGCTGGAGTCAGAGCAAATGACCACTTGCATGTATTTCCTCTACCCACTGAAGTGCTAGTGAGATAGCCATCATCTCTACTGTGTATACTGCGATGTGATCATTCGTTCGCTTTCCCACTTTGACCTTTAATTCAGGAACATAAAATGCAAAACAAGTTTGACCATTTTCTGGATTTTTGGATCCATCAGTAAATATTTGTATAAACTGCACATATTGTTCATGTAGAACAGTGTTCACATAAGCCTGCACATTGATTTTATTTTTCATTGAATGTAACCGTTTCAATAAGGATAAATCTACTATATATGGTTGAGGTAGCAACCATGGTGGAACAGCTGATAACAACACCACCGGACTAATATTCCATTCTTTAACTTTGAATACCTTACATAATTCCGAAAAACAAACACAAAAACTTTCTTTTTTAATTTTGTTACTTTCCCAACTTGTTTTTACAGTTTGTTTAGTAGGGTGAGTATCTTTATGGCCCCGTAGATTTGCCCAGTAATTAACAATGAACTGTTTTCTCCTCAAAGAAACTGGTATTTCTCCGACCTCTACCTGAAGTGTAGATCTGACTGCCCCACAGCATATCCTTGGTGCTTGTGCCTGGACTCTATCTAATTTTTGTAGAGAAGAGTATGCAGCTGAACCATACACTCAGGCCCGCCTTAACCTGCCATCAGGCCCCCCAGGGCCCCCATGACAAATCAAAGTCATTTATAGCCTCGGCAGGCTCTGTGATCGCACTTCTCCACTCTGCTCTACGCGCGCCTGGTCCTCTCCTCCAGATGAGTGACGTATCGGGCCTCCCTCGTGTATTGGTCCGGTTGCCGTTGGTTCCCCTCCACGTAGCAAGTCCTCGTCGTCCTCTCCATCTCCTCCAATATCCCTCCTGTCTGTTTTTCCTCTCCCGCTACTCCATCGCTATCAGAACCAGACGGCCTACTTGGCTCCGAGGCCCCACGGCCGGCACCGCTACTGCTCGGTACAGAACTCATCTGTCCTCCTTCCTCCTCATCCTGGCCTACAGGTTTAAAACAACCTGTAAGCTTCGGCATTTTTTGTAATAGCTGCTTGTCTCGAAACTCCTTTTCCCTCAACAATTTCCTTTCCCGAGTGCCACTCTCAAACTTTTTCTTCTCAAACTTTTTCTCCTAAACAACCTTCATCTGTCACTCAATCACTCACAATTTAAATAAGTCACATCTGAAACATATTCTCATTCTGATTGGCTGTTAAGTGGTGCCCACTGACTGTTACGCAGTCATCATTTTTGAGAAAAATCTCTGGAATCCATCGATCTGATTGATTAGCGGAGCAAATGATCAAAATACTACGGACGGAAGATATTTTCGTTTGGATTACTGGTCTCGGGGAAGCTCACGTGTGTGTGTGTGTGTGTGTGTATACGTGTGTGTTTGTGTATTTTTGCGTTTGTGTGTATTGTGTTTGTTTCCCGGGGAAAACACTCACGAGAAACACCGGCTGTTATTATGCCTGCTGTGACGTCAAGTTACTCCGTTCTCCGCTTGTAATTATGCCTTTACAAGCTTCAACGTTGTATTTATCATCTGAATTTGCCGAAACAAGTTTAATATTCTGAAAGCCAAGACTTTGTTTATTTGAAACCAGATGAAAACAAACTGTAATGGACCCTGCCGTGTTATCTATGATTACTATACGCCTTACATTCATAATTTCAGCCGGAGGGAGGGGGAGTGAGTGGCGAGTGAGAGCTGTCATCTTCCCTTTACAAGCTTCAAAAATGTATTTATCGTGTGATTTTGGAAATAAAAGTTTCTTATTCTGAAAGCCAAGACTTTGTTTATTTAAATGTTTTTTAAAAACATCCGAAATAAAAAACTTTTTTTTTAAAAAACTTTTTTATTGGCTCATGATAGGCCCCTGATCTCCGTAGGCCCGTGGGCTTCAGCCCAGGTCAGCCCAGGTCAGCCCGTGCATTAAGGCTGCCCTGCATACACTATTAGTCCGTATTTTATGACTGATCTAATTACGTTCCTCAAAGCAGCTTTATCAGCCCCCCACTTAGTGCCTGCCAAGCACCTCATAACATTTAAAACCTTTTTACATGTATCTACTACTTTATCAATGTGAGTACTCCATGTGACTCTCTCATCCAACCATATTCCCAGAAACTTAAATGTCTTCACTTTCTTCAGTTCTTGTCCATAAAGTTTTAACCTAACCTCCTCACCTATCCTTTTCCTCGTAAAAAAACGACAATCTAAACCCCCATGTCAGAGACCAGCTTTCAATTTCCTTAATGGCTTCCTGAATCTTACCTACAATATCATTTACATTTCTGCCCCTTTTGACTATCCGATCTGCATATCTGCCTGATTTAAATTGCGTATGTGAGAGATGGTCCGCCATATTGGACAACTACATACGGCAAATCAAATAGGACACTTGACACAGTGGCATTTGGTAAAGCAGAAAAAGAAAAGTAAAAAAAAACGACAATATTAATCTGAACGAGAGAGATGAGCTATTGTTATTACAACGTGACTTCACTATTATTTAACAACTCCTTTTATTGGGTTAAGTACATTCTCAGAATAAGTGAGAAATGGATTGAACTTCTGTTAGACATACTTCATACTGAAGAAATAATTACTGTGAATGTATATAAAAAGGTAAGGCATTAATAATGTATATCTAATTACATAAACTGTGAATGTCTTTCATTTAATTAATTAAATACAATTACATAAAAACATTTCCATAAAAAAGTTGATTCAAGAACAAATCTCTGTTATTAGATCAGTACTTTTCTCATATGACTATTATTGCTCATTTGAAAGGTCTTTACCAGCTTTGGAATGATATATATCAATGCAAATCGGGAAACCGTTTAAGTTTAAAACTAGTGAATGCGCAATGCATATTGGGCAGCCGTCTAGACGTCAAGTGTCCTATTTGGGTTGCCCTACACTGAAAAAAACGGGGAGTAAGATTTTTATTTTTTTATTATCAAGTATCATCAAATGCAATTCTTATTCAATAAAACTATTTTACAAAACATGAAACAGTAGACACTTTTAAACAGCAAAAAAAAAATTCTGTTGTCTTATACATGCCATGATTAATCTACAGTTTACAATGATTTTAACAAATACTGCACATACAGTACATCAGTTAAACTTAACAAAGCAGGTCGAAGAAGTATCAGGCCCTTTTCTTAACCCTTATGATGTGTTTGGGTATCCAGTGACCCGTTTCAAGTAAAAATTATATAATAACTACTCTAGTTTTTTTTATCGCTTCATGATATCCTCCACAACAGCTATATAAACACTACAAAACTGATTTTGACCATTTTAGCCAAGTCTGAAGGTCTCTAAAAAAAAAAGTGTATAATTTGGTGTTCGGGTCTGTGAAGACCCAGCAGAATTGTTGTGGGTGACTCGGGGTGAAATTTTTCCCAATCAAGATTCATCTTTGACTTTAGACACCTCACCCCCACCCTCTTCATCCACTGTAACACTACTTTTTTCGCAACATGCACCTGGTCTTCCATCCCTCTGGCCCCCCTCCCCCACGGGAACTCCACCTTTAACAAAGAATATGTACACAAACACTTGAACCTGAACACACACATGCACGTGGGCAATATGTGGTGTAATGTGTTGTGGAACCATACAATTAAATTACAACAGGTTTGTACAGTTATGAATGCATAATAAGTTAGTTATGATGTAGTTAAAACAATATTGGATGATAGTCATTATTTTTCAGTGTTTGAACTGAGATAAATCATGGGTCAAAATTGACCCGCGAACATAAACATTGAAATTGAGTAAGTTTGAAAATATAAATAAATATTATACAGTAAAATGTATGTAATTTTTTTTACTTTATCTAAATGTTAACTTAAAAACTGGAGACTGAAGAGGTTTTTCACATAATGGCAAGATGAACTTAGAGATATCCATGTACAAACAGAACAGCAGACACATTTTAACACAAATCAAGCAGAACATTTACCTGGTACTCTTTAATCAGCTCCTCTGCAGACTCTTCCAGAAGCTCCATCAGGCGGGAGGACGGCTTCCACTTCAACATGGTGCTGTTGAACAGACATGTCAATTATTGTAGCGAACACACATAACTGTAACTACAGAAAGATATTGGAGACAAAGATTATGCCTAAACTACAATTTAACGCATTACACCATATCCTACATTTCCCCCAATCCGCTTTAGTAAAGCACCACCTGGTTAGTACACCTCCTTCCTGTATATATACATTAGTATTCATTTTAGTAAGCACTGGATAATGTACAAAATGTTTTCACTCGTAGAAAATCATCATCCTCTTTACTCTTGGTGGCGCTGTGGGCTTGGATTTGAAGATTACTGTATTGTAATTCTCTGCTCCATTCCACTAGGGGTCTTATTGATTGTTACTGTTCCCCTACTTTCTTTATTGCTTCTGATCTGCGTATGAAACTTTGTTTGTAATCTTGACTCTCTGCACCTCTCTGGCCTCTCTCTGTACTTCACATCCTCCAAACGCAGCACTGTGATCTCCTCCGCAGTTACAACATTTAACCTTTGCATCAATTTCACATTTTCCATACTCATGTTGTCCTCCGCATCTCGCACACCTTAGCTTAGCGTTTCTCAAAGTGTGGGGCGCGCCCCACTGGGGGGGCGCAGAGATGTGATTGGTGGGTCATGACAAAAAAATATATTATTTAAATTAAAAAAAAATGTTTTATTTTTTTTTCACACTGGTGGAATATGAAAACAACGGCCCGCCCGGGGTGCAAAACGAATCAATGAAAGCGACCCTCTACCACACAAAACAACACCTGTAGATAACCCAATTTGTGTTCTTTGAAATTGAAAAGGATATTGCATTGTGTTTGTTACTTTCGTTGCAGTTGTATGTCTTAAGTGTAATTTGGCATGCTTTTATTTTGAAGGCGAGTTTACGCTGTTGACAGTTGTTGTTGCTATGCAGTGGCGGCGCCAGACTATTTTTGTTGGGTAATTTATGGTAGGGCTAACCCATACAGTGGTGGGGCTCAAGTCAGTATTTGTAATATAATTACATACACGCTATATCGCACCCCTTGACAGTGAAACGCCAAGCTTTGGGGCTTTTATTAGCTTTTATTAGTCTCCTTTTATCAGCTAAATTACATCGAGAGCAACAGGTGTGAGTTAAACAATACAATAGCCTATTCTGCTAATTCCACGTTGTTACAACAGAAACAAGAAAAGTTGGCATATAGAATTGACACGGAGAGGGAGAGAGAGAGGGAGAGAGAGAGGGAGAGTGAGGGAGAGTGAGGGAGACACAGGTAAACAGAGAGAGACAGACACAGCACACAACAGGTGGCCTGTGTTTCTATTGTCATACAAAACACTTTTTCAAATGACCCATTATTACAAAATATATTCAAAACTCACTATTCACTCTTCAGGTGGGTCGTGTGACTCTGGCACCTGTTCGACTTGTACCTCAATGCGAGGGCGTTTAAGAACAAATCTATCTATCCGAAATATACAATTAATCCTAGAAGTTCTGCTGTCTGTCTGCAATTTACTCAGCGCGAGTTTGGGGACTTTTCACTGAACGTGTTGTATCAACGAATCAGTAATGCATGACGCAGCAGACCCAACGTTTCGTTGCTCTGATTGGCTGTATATTCAAATTGCATTAGGAGGCATTTTGATCTGACCGCGACCGCGCTGATATTATAACGCGAGAGAATTTTCACACCTTTAGTGTATAAAACTCCCCCACTACTTAGACTATTCCGTGCACCCCTCTAGCATAAGCCCGAATGGTCTCAACCATATTGCGTCAGTAACGTGCACTTGTTGTTACAGCAGGATCAGTTTGTGTGTTATGGACACAACCGGTAGATTTTCGCAATCCGTGTTCTCAACATGCTTACTTTAACATACTTTTTCATGGTCGGCCTAAGGTAGGGCTAAGCCATTTCTTGGTATGGCTGTAGCCTACCCCAGCCATACCCTGGCGCCGCCACTGTTGCTATGGAAACAAGAAACGTTTCACAGCGGGCGGAACTTGTCATAAAGTCCGCGATAATAAAGCCCACCCATTTAGAGGGAAGATATGATTGGTCAATTGTACTGTCATTTGACATTACTCTCTCGTTCAGTTACTATGGAGAGGCGAAGTCCCTCCCCTTCCGAAAGCCTCCATGGGACCCCGGAAGCGGAAAATTATACATTGAAGTCAATGGAGAGAGAAAGGTTATCTTTTGATCCCGTTTGAATTGTGCCACGAATGACACATATGATGTTTGTCAATTTAAAAGAACATTTTGCAAGTCAAAAAAATAAAAATGTGTCGTAAAACTGTGAAGTTACACATTTTTGTGTGTGAAACCGCTCAGTGAACTACAGGTCTCTGGTCTCGCACAATACGCGTCACCAACATAAAGATTGCCGTCACGTTAGCACATTTCACCACATTCTTTCAGAATGAGAATACAATTATTTTACGAGGTGAAAATCACTACAAGTCTGGGCACGTTGAGAGCTGTACCTATATGAAAGGGGAGTTAGTCGGTTCTGTAAGAGCCAGCATTCGGGACCGGCTTTACAAGGTTTCGGTGAGTAATATGAGTGCAATGTTTAACGTTAATGTCAGCTAGCTAACATTAGCTAACAAGGTACACTAACGTGTTTTGTTTTAGCAACTAGTTTTCTCCTTAAGAACTTCGTGGTCTCTGTGTATGCTGTGGATAACATTAGTGTTCACAAGAACAAGGTACACTCCCGTGTTTTGTTTTAGTTGCTCTTCAGATTGAAGCGGCCAGTTTTATATCGACTATACTGTATGTGTGATCTCCTTTTTCTCGTTGTGTCATTTGACTTTATTTGCTGTGTGTAGATTCAAGGATTTTGGTTATCTAGGCACAGCTGTGTGTGACTCCCTCTGGTACACCGGTATGTGTTTTCCTAATGTAGAGAGCATTGATTAATTAATAAACTACACACTGAGTCTAGATCCTGACCAAATCCTTTTTTATTGTTGATCAAATGTTTTTCAAAAATGTATTCATACACATTTAGAAAAATACAATGTACAATCACAACCAATACAACACAAATTACAAAAAATACAGAAAAAACAAACAATAACAACAGACAAGAGGACAAAACTATGGAAAAATAAACCCTCCCACCCCCAGATCCGGACCATCCTTGTATTATTGCTCATTCAATCTATTATAGCATGCTAACAAATGGTACTTACTTTATTTTTACAGATCTGCATGGGAGACGATGGCGCGATGCAGAGCGCTGTCTGTGATTGTGCACAGGAGATGTACAAATGCAGCCACGCTGCAGCATTGGCAATATTTGCCATGTGGCAGATCAGCTCCACAGATGTTGAGTGCCAGTGGAGGAAGCCTGGCACTTCCAAAGTAGTCCAGCCGGTGTCTCAACTTTACCAACAGCGAGAGGAGACATACAACCCACTGGCCAGAGACATCGCCAACTGTCAACTGGGGGGTTGTAAACGAAGCCGAAGGGGTGAAGGCTTTTGTGGAGGCTTTTGTGGAGGCCTATCAAGTGACAGTGTTCGAATCGAGTCTGGTCTCTTTGTGAGTGAGTCGGGTGTTTTGGGAGCATCACCCGATGGACTTGTGCAGCCATCTGCCCTGCTGGAGGTGAAGTGTCCACACAGCCAGAGGAACATGACCATCGCGGAGGCAGTCCAGTTACCATCCTTCTGTCTCCGTGAGGAGGGTGGGTCATACATTCTCAAGGAGAATCACCCATACTGGCACCAGGTCCAAGGGCAGCTGCACATCACAGACCGGAGTCTCTGCTACTTTGTTGTGTGGACCACGAAGGAGGCGATCATCATCCCCATCCTCAAAGACCCTGCATGGCATGGAAATCTCCTCCTCCTGGAACAATTCTACACCCAGCATATGCTCCCTGTGTTGGCCAGTAGAGAGGAGGACATTTCAATAAACATACTCTTAACACCCTCGAACTCTGCGTTGTGTTTCGTATGTGTGATGGGGTGTTATGCAGAGGGGAGGAAAACAGGACACAGCAGATTGGGATTGTGGTGGAGATGCTGAGCAGTTATTTAATTATTATTATACTGCGTGCTTCTTAGTTATTCCATCTTTTGCTGTAACATGGATCTGTATGTAACTCTATATTTACTTGTTATCTAACACACTTCCTTCTACATCATACACCATCATTATACATGATGGTGTATATAGGATATATATATTTGTATACATATCTGTAAATTGTATAATTTTACTTAAACGTCTTTTTGATCTCTCAAACTGAGTAAGATTGACAATAAAGTTGACTTTGAAAAATATATATATTCTTTATGAAAATAGTTGACTGTTGTCAAATGAATCCAAATGAAACGTTGGACTGAACTACAACTACGCCTTAACATCTCTACGGACTGTTTTTCAGTGGGATGGCAAGTTCCTATCTTTAAACATTTATTAGTTTTTTCTCAGAACAGATTTGATTTTCTGAAGTTAATTTAACTTTGCCGACCATGTAAGGTCATCATTAAAAGGTACAATCAATTTGTTTATGGTTGACTAAAATAATGAAAAACATTCATTTGGATAATTTACTGACAGAATAAGAAACTCAATGATGCTTTACTCACCTGTTCCCTTTTTATAAAGTGAAACAGTTGAAACGATAGATTTTAGTAAACTTAAAAACAACCTTCTCCAAAAGCTATCAAGGAATATACCGAATACTTGTTTTAGAACTTTATTACATGTTTTTATATAAATAGTTTGAATGATCCATAATTGACAGAAGCTTGTGTTTACACTGACCTGTTACTCATATATTAATGTCTTTGTAACTTCAGTAAACCACTACCTCACTAATTTCACTTTCATTCATCACGGTTCAGTAAACTAAGTGATACATGAACCAGTTTAATCATTATAATAACGTAGGATTGCAACTCTTTGAAAATGTATGTGGCTCTTAAAAGAGCCGTTGTGTTTGGGTGTGCTGGTCTCAGGTCAGTCTAAGCCCTCTCTCCGCGGATGCGGCGGGCCAGCTGGATGTCCTTGGGCATGATGGTGACTCTCTTTGCTTGGTTCATCTTACTGGGGGGCAGCTACATGGATGTGTCGGTGCAGTCCACAATCATTGCGCAGTTGAAGGCAGAATGAATTTATTATTGACTCCGAATGAAGCACAACTTCATGTCATACAATACAATGACTTTATTTGTAATTGTGTAAAAAAATATGAGCATTGATTAGCAAGCAGGACCTGCAGGAACAGAGAATGGTGATGGATGGAGCTGGGAAGAGAGAAGAATAAAGAAAACAGATCAACTTTATTATCGGATATTAAAAATTCAATTTCAAAACAAGTTGCCGCTCCTACAGTTTTCTAGTATGTAAAGATGATTTCACATGACCTATGCAAAATATCACACTCAATACATGTGTGTCTCTGGGGGGTGCATTGTGCCTTTGATGTATATAAATAATATACCATAACCAAATACTATTACGTACAGTGGAAATCAGGTTGTCAGTGTGCATGTTCCTCAACGTCTCAGCAGTTACAGGTGAGGTAAAGAAAATAAAAGAGAAAAAGATCAGTAACAACACTTTAAAGTAACAACACTTTGAATAATTATCTCTTCTAACAATTTTCTCTCAATAAGCACACGACTGTCTTTCCAACAAACAGATTGTCATCACAATGAAACACGTCCAGAAGAATGTCATGCAAAGCTCCCTGCCTGCCTTCGACTCTCCCTGAACTGCTTCCTTAGCACCCGGTGGAGGGCGCAGTAGGCTACTCTTCAAATGCTTCACGAAATACTTACCATCATGTTTGGTTACTGTTTAACATTTTGGTTTACTTCATGTAATAAAATAATAACTTCATGGTAAGGCTACTAAAAATGACAAGGCTAAGTAATGTAATGCTAACTAACGTGCTCGCTACTCGTCGCTACTAGCTAGGTAGCTAACTTGACTATGTTCCATGCACAACATGTATATTACCTGATATGTCTGATCCAGCGACTCCTGGTCCTTTCATCAGACGGGAATCGATAGAAGGAGAAGTGGTATGATCACTTTTATGACTACAACCTGGTACAAAGCACACAGGCATCTTGTAAAAGTGAATTTATTTTTAGCGATCTATAATTTATTGGAGGGAATAAATCAGTTATGAGATCTTCTTCTTCTTCGCTTTAATTACGAGGCTTATTATAAATCACCGAGCATGCCTGTGACATCACTTACGCGACCCAGAATGGGATTTGTAGTCTTTGTAGTAGCGTATTTTTCATAGTCTTATATTTCAGCAGTTTTACGACAAAATGTGACTTTTTTTGACATGGAAATGATTGTTTAAGATTGACAAACATCATATGTGTAGTTCGTGGCACAATTCAAACGGGATCAAAATATATGTGTTCTCTCTCCATTGAATTCAATGTAAATGTTTCGCTTCCGGGGTCCCACGGTCCGGAAGTAGATGGGCGTGACTTCGCCTCTCCATAGATGGCCCTCTGTGAATTCATAGCTGGACGTCCAATCAGCTCCTGTCTTCACAGACTCGCAGAGACGAGCTTCTTTCATTTAACCCTTCACATTCAAACAGAAACTGAATAGGCAGATTCAAAGGATTTATTTCTTTGGAAATGTTATTTTAAAAATACAATTTAATCAAGTTATTTTTGGTAAAACTAATGACAAATCTTACTAAAAACATATTTAAAAAAAATATATAAAGAAAAATATAATTTGTTTTAATGTTTTTTAATATTATTTTGTAGAATATCTTAGGCCCTCAGAGACAGGCTCGCCACTGGTAAAAATCTCTCATACACACATGTAAAAGGCTCTCACAGACACACACAACAGCGTTGCAGTCGGGAAGAAAAGCAATGTGGAGCAAGAGAGAGAGCGAGAGAGCAAGAGAGAGAGCACACCTTTATCTATTTAATAAAGTAAGAAATCCTTCCAATGTGTACTATAGGACAGTAAAAAGTTTAAAAGGGGAGGGATTAGTCATATATGCATAAATAAAAAGAAAGAATGCTAACTAGGTAACATAAGATAAGAATAAACAAGTTTAAATGATTTGTTGTGATCATATTCTAAAGATGTTTGGATTATTGAAAAGTATACAGCTCCCTTTCATCTGAGTGTTGAGAGCTGTATCCATAAATTCATGTTGGGCTCAAAGTAGGGCTGCTCGATTATGGCAAAAATCATAATCTCGATTATTTGGGTCAATAATTGATATCACGATTAACCATTTACTTTGAAAAACATCAATTTATTGAAGAAAATAATTTGAAAAGTATGTTTTTAACAGTTGATTACCCTGAACTTTAAGTATAATTCAACTGAAAACCCTATTTAAAAAAAAAAAAATCGTTTTATTTCGATTATGTTGTTTTCATAATCGTTGCAAGCCAAAATCGTAATTGCGATTAAAATACGATTAATTGAGCAGCCCTAGCTCAAAGTGCACCAGATTGATGCATTTAACTTCAACATTTAAAAAAAATCTTCCTGGGGGTGCATGCCCCCGGACCCAGAGGATGTGACGTCCACCACCAAATAAAGCAGGTTAAAATAATTAAATTGCATACATTTTATTTTAGTAAACACTGAAAACGGGTCCCACAGACCGAAACAGCACTCAAAGGTTAAAGGTAGCATATAATAATGTTAAAATGTGCTAAATATATACACTGCAAAAAAACAAAAAAGAGGAGTAAAAGTAGCTCACGACTTGTTTTATTTTTTTAAATAAAAAGGTTGGAGACCCCTGTCTGGAACGATACATTTGACAATTTTAAGCTTGCCCTACCATTTTATTGGAGCGATGAGGAACAGGTGGGGCTTGAAAAGGCCCACCTGTTCAAAGTGGGGAATGACAGAAAAAGTTTGAGAACCACTGCCTTAGCTGTCCTTTACACTGCTGCGCAATGTGCCCCAATCGTTGACATGCGTTAGCACCTGAGAGGTTTGGGGATGTAATCCCTAACAATGAAGTTCAAATATCCCATTTGTACTGCATTAGGTAAGGTTCTCTCAAACTGAATGAGAACTGATAATGTTTCTTTGAGTGTACCATCCCTTTTGCTTTTAAGCCTTGTGGCTTCCACTACTTTGCCTCCTTTTATTTCATTTTTAACATCTTCCATTGACATGTTCAATGGTACTCCTTTCAGTTTTGCCATTGCTCCTGGAACATGCGCATTCATTTTCTCCCCATTCAGTGAGTTCATTCCGAGAATCTTTTCCTGCTGCTGTTTGTTACCTATGTATCAATAGCCGCTTGTTGTTCATGAACTTAGCAAATTACATTTTTCCAATCTCTTTTTCAATTGCTTTGGTAAATTTAATCGGGTGGTAATAATATATGATATTATAATATTGGGAGGGATGAATCCCTCCATGGTCACACATGCAGAGCACACACAGTGCAATTTGTTCTCTGCGTTTAACCCTAGTACCAGGAGTCTAGTACTAGGAGCAGTGGGCAGCTATTGCACAGCGCTCGGGGAGCAATGGGAGTGAGGGGGAAAGGGGGTTGTCCGGTGCCTTGCTCAAGGGCACCACGGCAGGGCAGGAGGTGAACTGGGACCTCTCCAAGTAGCAGTCCACGCTCCATTTTTAGGTCTGGTCGGGGACTTGAACCGGTGACCCTACGGCTCACAGTCCAATCTCCTACTGACTGAGCCACTGCCCACCATCCTGATTGAATTATATTGTAACTTTCCACTCGTGTTCTAGTTCGTTATTCAAAGTTGCTTGGCTGTAATTTTGACTGACTTTTGATTTTATGTTTTAGCTAGCCTTGTCTGCTTCACCCGACTAATTTCACGCTCTTACTGAGCTATCTCTTTCTCTCAAAGCCCTTTTCTTCCTCGCGGCTTCGGATATCATCCATTCCATATCGGTTCTTTGGCTACCATCTGAGCTGGTTGACATGATGATACAGTCAATGTACAGTTTATGCAAATCCACCAAAATAACAGTCCAATGCTACCCTTTCTGTATGTTTCCGAGTTTTCCGATTCTCTCTGAGCTATCTGCAACGTGTCTCCGACTTCACTTCCTTCTTCCGGTCTGCAATCCACGTCACGCCAGCTAGCCCGGACGTTGCATTACCGCCTACTGCTGGATAAATAATAAAAACACCCTTTCTTCGTTACTGTACTGTACTTATACATCTTTCTGGTATCAATACTTCACTTCATACTCCACTACTTACTGTTCTGAGGACTTTTTATTTTTACTTCTTACATTTTTAACACCAATACCTGTCATTTCTACTTCTTACATTATTAAAACAGGTTTGTTACTTTAGTTTTAATCTGTATTTGGTAGCATAATCATTATTATTTAGAGTGTTCAGTGTTGCTTACATTAACAGTTTCTTATAATAGGAAAAACAATAACATGCAACCAACCTTGATGAGAGGGGTGTGCCCGAAGAAGAAACCAAACATGTAGGCCATAATGTTGTTACAGATCACACAGGAAATCGGCACAATGAACCTGTGAGAAGAGAAGAGTTAACATGAGACTCATAAATAAGAGACTTAGAGAAAACAAGTTTTGTATAACAAGGCATGTAGGAATGTATTTGGATTTTTCTAGCCAATAAACACGGTAAAAAGTCGGTACAGTTTTTTTAATTTAACTGCAATGAGGTACAGTTTTAGTATAATATGAAAAGTGGAATATTTTCTTTTTAAAGACAGAAACTTAAGAAACTATTAAGGTGAAGCTTTATCTATGTGAAGACTATAAAGGACTGTTTATTTACCAGATCATCTCCTCAAACAGGTTGTGAATGATGAGGTGAGACTGAGTCACCACGATCAGCAGAGTCACATGAGCCCAACCAAACTGTGGAGACAAAACATCATTAGGAAAATGTGTTTACAATCATTTGCCTGACAATCAACCCAATTATATTCATAAGGGTCCTTGTTCCAAATATGTATTGATAGATTTGACGGTGGTACAACACCCAAGGGATTACTGTCAGCTGTGACTACACTGAGATGGGATTGAGCTGAAAAGGATATTAGCTTGATTCAATTCAAAATGTGTTTGAAGGCAGCGTATCCTATTTAACATTAAGAGTTGTGTTTTTGTAAACCTCAGGCTCCATATTTAATATATATTCATTCATGCATTACACTGACACAAGACTAAGGTTTTCCATTATTGGCAGTGGTTTAGGGCCATTGTAGTTTTTTTTATCGTAATTGTAAAAAATGTTTTATATTCTTTGAGATTTGTAAGGTTAATTTACCAGAACAATTAAGCTTTAACAAGAACAAAAGTATGTTAAATTCCGACATTTGGGGGGGAAATAATAAAAATAATGTTTTTTTTATTACTCCACTTGCAAGGTTGGATGAATCTCTATCAAACACTTCTTTTTTTAAAGGTATCACAGTTTCTTTCTTGTTAATTTATAACTTTATGAGTTATTTCCCAGACTAATACACCGTTCCGCTGGCTTTTAACCGACATAGGCCCTCAAACACTGTAATGTCCTTCTCTATGTGAACATAGAACCTGGATTATGAACAAAAATCACAGGAGTGATGTGTCTTGTACGCTGAGTTGATCTTATCCGCTTCACAAATGTTGTCTTATATGATTGCTTTCCCTTTGATTTAACAGGCACTGGTTTTTCTGCTTGAATAAATCTGGCTGTGAAAGACTTGAGCTGTGTTTTATAAGTGTTTAAATCTGCAGTGTAACTTCCAGTCGTCTCATTAATAAATGTCAGACTTGCAGTGTGGTATAAAAGGCGAAATAAATAAATAAAATGCAAAGCGTTAAATGTGTGAAGAGGGCGACACCATCTGGTCACAACTTTAATTATTTTATCATGTTTATGTGCAAATGAAGAACTCTCATTGGTTCAGAAACTTTCTCCTTAAGTGAGTTTCTTTTTTTTCCTGACTTTTTTATGGGTTTTTCACTTTATATTAATTACATAACAATAACAGTGCAGAACATCTAACAAACCTCACTAAAGTTGAACTGGATACTTTCATGTATTTATGCCATTTGCTGGAAAGAAGACGTATCGCTCTTTTGGCGTCGTTTGGACAACAAAAACAGAGTTAAGCTCTAATTTCATAAACAATCTTTGAGTACAGACACCGTCCTGCAGAGAGCACACAATCCAACAGCACGTTTTTGGTCTAGCATCACTTTACAAAACGTTTGCATTAAGACACTAAGACTAGCTGGTCCATTGTAAAGGTCAGTCCACCTTAAATGAGCAGTGGGTGATCAGCAGGTGAAAGGCAGGACACAGGAACTTGGTCCTGTGGAGATGTAACGATTATTAAACAAGAAAGTTGTCGAGTCAAGGGGTCAAAGAAATGAATATTTGTGATTATTAGCGAATCGGTTGCAGGTGGGTGAAATCAGGCTTATGGCGCGTTTCCACTGCAGCGGGTAGCCCCGTTTAAGCGTCCTTAACCGTCCTCAAGCGGCCAGGCCGGTTTTTGGTGGCGTTTCCATATAGCCTAGTACCGGCCAGCGGGTACTTTTTCCTTCTTTTTCCGGCCTCATAAAATCGTGGTTCCCTCAGACCAGGGCCAGGGCTGAACTAGTGACGTCAACCCTCTCGACTGCTGATTGGTCAGAGAGAATCGTCACAAGATTGCGCGCGAGTTCATCCCTAGCGTCGCATATATATCTAGAAGCAAGCTTGCAGCATTTTTATACACAGCATTTTGTAAACGGATGAGCTACAAAAATGGCTACGTCTAATAAGAAAAGCACACCGTGGTCGACCGAGGAGGTGACGACGTTCCTACATCTCATTGGGGATGATCAAATCCAGCGGGAGCTCGACGGAACAACTCGAAATGTGAACAAAAACAAAGCCGATCGCCCCGCCTACACTGCGTTGCTACCCCAGGTCCTAAACTGTAATGGAAATGCGCCACGGCCTCGGACGGCCAGCGAGGCAGCCCGAGGCCAGAGCGAGGACGCTTAGGGACGCTTAAACGGGGCTACCCCGCTGCAGTGGAAACGCGCCATTAGTGAGTAACTAAAACCAAAACTAAGGAGCTCATTGTTGATTTCAGGAGGACAAAAAAGGAAGTCCATCTAGTCTAAGCAGTAACTTGGACCTCAAACCTGGTGAAAAAGGCACAGCAGAGACTGTTTTTCCCTGAGGAAACTGAGACAGGCCAGGCTTTCACAAAAACTGCTGGTAAACTTCTATCGGTCGACTATTGAAAGCACCCTGAACAGCTGCATAACTGTGTGGTACACCAGCTGCACAGCCACAGAGCGGAAGGACCTGCAACGGGTGGTGAAGGCTACTCAGCGCATCGTTGGGACTCAGCTGCCCAACATTGGCAACATCTACAAAAGTCGACTGCAGAAGAAAGCCAGCAGCATCACACACCCCGGCCACTCACTGTTGGAACCGCTGCCAGACGGTTCAGGTCAATAAAATTACGCACCAACAGACTGAAGAACAGCTTATTTCCCAGAGCTGTGGCCTCCATCACTCCCATCCCTGTCCAACCACAAAACTCACTATAACTTTGAACATGCACACGTACAAACACACTACCTCCCATCAAAGACTGCAGCCAAAAATATCTTATGTTATCTATTTGTATATTTATTAAGTATCAAACAGATATTTTTAGTAACTATTTATATTTAAACATTGTAGCTTTTATTTATTAAATAATCTTTAAAAATGTATTTTAACATTCTGGTAAAGTGCATTTAAGTGATGACCCTGACTATTGCTACTATCTCTGCTTTATCACTTATTTTATGGATGTGTTCTTATTTATGTACTGCAGTGAGAGAAGCCAACTGAATTTCGTTACACAGATGTGTGATGACAATAAAGATATTCTATTATATTCTAACATATTACATGTAACGGCATTAGGTCATCAGGATACAAAATAGGCAAATTACATTACATTACATTGCATTTAGCTGACGCTTTTATCCAAAGCGACTTACAATAAGTACATTCGACCAGGAAGACACAACCTTGAAGAAAACAGAATCATATAAGTACATCAGGTTTCATAGAGCCAAACATTTCAAGTGCTACTCAACTGGCTTTAGGTAAGCCAGTCCTTTATTAGTATAAAAGTGCTTCGTTAATAGTTCTAACGCTCGAAGTGGAGTCGAAAGAGATGAGTTTTCAGTCTGCGCCGGAAGATGTGCAAGCTATCTGCTGTCCTGATGTCAATGGGGAGCTCATTCCACCATCTTGGAGCCAGGACAGCAAACCCACGTGTTTTCGCCGATGGGAACTTGGGTCCCCCTCGCAGCGAGGGCGCAGCGAGCCGTTTGGCTGATGCAGAGCGTAGTGCACGCGCTGGGGTGTACGGTTTAACCATGTCCTGGATGTAGGAAGGGCCAGATCCATTCGCAGCATGGTAAGCAAGTACCAGTGTCTTGAAGTGGATTCTAGCAGTTACCGGAAGCCAGTGAAGGGAGCGGAGGAGCGGAGTGGTGTGGGAGAATTTAGGAAGGTTGAAGACAAGACGAGCCGCTGCATTCTGGATGAGCTGCAGAGGTCGGATGGCACATGCAGGTAGACCAGCCAGGAGGGAGTTGCAGTAGTCTAGGCGTGAGATGACGAGAGCCTGGACCAGAACCTGAGTCGCTTTCTGAGTCAGCTGGGGACGTATCTTCCTGATGTTGTAAAGCGTGTATCTGCAGCAACGGGTTGTAGCAGCGATGTTTGCAGTGAAGGACAGGTTGTTATCTAGGGTCACACCCAGATTCCTTGCAGTCTGAGTCGGGGAAACAACTGAGGTGCCGATGTTGATTGTTAGGTCAAGAGTGGGACAATCTTTTCCCGGGAGGAAGAGCAGTTCAGTCTTGTCAAGGTTGAGCTTGAGGTGGTGAGCAGACATCCACTGAGAGATGTCAGCTAGACAAGCAGAGATGCGTGCAACGACCTGGGTCTCTGAGCGGGGAAAGGACAGAATTAATTGGGTGTCGTCAGCGTAGCAGTGGTAAGAAAAACCATGTGGGCTAATGACTGATCCGAGCGAGTTTGTGTACAGGGAGAAGAGGAGGGGACCAAGAACAGAGCCCTGAGGGACCCCCGTAGTTAATTGACAAGGGTCGGACTCAGACCCTCTCCAAGTCACCCTGTAGGTACGGTCTTTCAGGTATGAGGTGAGGAGGGAAAGTGCAGAGCCTGAAACTCCAAGTTTTTGGAGAGTGCGAAGGAGGATCTGATTATTCACCGTGTCGAATGCAGCAGACAGGTCCAAAAGGATGATGACAGAGGAGAGGGATGCAGTTTTGGCAGTGCGCAGTTCCTCCGTGACAGCAATGAGAGCAGTTTCTGTGGAGTGACCTGCCTTGAAACCAGACTGGTGCGGATCCAGAAGGTTGTTCTGATTGAGATAACAGGAGAGTTGTTTAAAGACAGCGCGTTCAAGTGTTTTAGACAGGAACGGGAGGAGAGAGACAGGCCTGTAGTTTATAACATCAGACGGGTTGAGAGTGGGTTTCTTTAGGAGAGGGTTTAGTCTTGCCTCCTTGAGACTGTTTGGAAAGTGACCAGAAGTTAGAGAAGTGTTGATGAAATGGGTGAGAAACGGTAGAATATCAGGAGCGATAGTCTGAAGGAGGTTTGAAGGGATAGGGTCCAGAGGACAGGTGGTAGGGCGGGCAGAGGTAATGAGGGTAAGAACCTCACTTGGAGAGAGAGGGGAAAAGGAGATAAGTGTGTTGGTGGAAGGAGGGTCTGGTGACCCAGCGGTGAGTAAAGGTGAGTCAGAAAAAGAAGAGCGAATATCATCAACCTTTTTTTCAAAGTGGGTAACAAAGTCGCTTGACAGAAGTGAGGAGGGGGGAGGAGCTTTTGGAGGGTCCAAGAGGGTGGAGAAGATGGAAAATAGTTTTTAGGATTGGAATAGGAAGATTGGATCTTATCTTGAAAGAAAGTGCTTTTTGCCTGAGAGATCGAAGCAGAGAAAGAGGAGAGGAGAGCTTGATAGGTTAGGAGGTCGTCACGGTGTTTGGATTTCCACCATTTCCGCTCTGCTGCCCTAAGGACGGTTCTATTAGCACGCAGTGCATCATTTAGCCAGGGAGCAGGAGGGGACTGACGAGCCTGCCGAGATGTGAGAGGACAGAGCGAGTCCAGAATGGATGAGAGAGTAGAGAGGAGAGTTTCTGCAGCAGAGTTTGGAGGCAGGAGTTGGAACGAATCAGAGGAAGGGAGGGCTGAGAGCACCGACGAGGCAAAGGTAGAGGGGGAGAGGGAGCGAAGGTTACGGCATACAAGTGTAGGATGGGAAGAGATTAGTTTGTTATGTTTGGAAAGGGATAGAGAGAATGAAATGAAGAAGTGATCGGATGTGTGGAGCGGGTTTACAGAGAGGTTAGAAGTAGCGCAGTTCCTTGAGAATATGAGATCAAGGACATTGCCAGCTTTATGAGTTGGTGGGGATGGAGAGAGTGAGAAAGCAAAGGCGGTTAACAGAGATGTTAGTTCGTCTATCTTCCCCGTCTGGAGGTTGAAGTCTCCGAGAAGTACAGCGGGAGGACCAGTTTCAGGGATGAGTGAGAGGAGATTATCTAATTCCTCCAAGAAGTCCCCCAAGGCACCTGGTGGACGGTAGAGAACAACAATGATTAACTGTATAGGATGGGTTACTGTGACGGCATGGAACTCAAAGGTGGAAGGAGTGAAGTTAGGTAGCTTGAAGAGGGAAAAGCTCCATTTGGGAGAGAGCAGGAGACCAGTGCCACCTCCTCTGCCAGTGGGTCTGGGTGTATGGGAGGAGGAATATGCTATGGAGAGAGCTGCTGGGGTGGATGTGTTGGATGGAGTAATCCAGGTCTCAGTGAGAGCAAGGAAATCCAGAGACTGCAGGGAGGCGTAGCCAGAGATGAAGTCAGCCTTAGGAACAGCTGACTGGCAGTTCCACAGGCCACCTGAAACTAGATGTTGGATCTCAGTGGAGCACGTGGGATAGACGAGAGCAGGCCGGTTATATCGATTACGAGATACACAGGGCCAGTGATAATTGCGAGAAGACACATGAACAGGAATGGAGAAAATACACATGATTATAGCATGAGGGGCTAAACAACAAAATAAAATGAAACAAAATAAAAACACCAGCGATACTTAGCTCAATCAAAGTAGGATTTGCCTCCTCTTTGCCTCCTGTAGGACTCCAATGTCTTTGTCAGTCTTACTCCTGTAGGACTCCAATATCTTCGGCTGAAGCTGACGCTCCAGGAAAGTGATACCTAAAAATGGACGCCTGATTGCTCAGTTCTCACAGCTGTAGGGGCACGCCCCTTTAATTAGTTAACTATCTACAGCTGATGGGCGACAATAGAATGGCCCTGCCTATATTAATAATGCAGGCTTGAGTGTTGAGACCTGTGAAGCAGGTTTCGCCTGAGCAGATCTGAGATTTAAAATCTCTCAAAAGCGATTTAGCCGTTTAAGGTACAATAACAATTATACAGAGTCGAATAAATGAAACCGAGAAGTCTAATTAAACAAGAATATAACTTACAGTGGTTGCTGCGTCAATAGGTAATGTCGTCACCGGGTCCAGATGCACACATGCAAATGTGTTCCCTTACAGTTACAGAAGCAAAAACAATCAGATAACAGGTATATTTATGTAAAACAGGGCTCATTAACAGGATAGCAATGATACAAAACATGTCGAAATAAAGAAAAATACATCAAATCATCCTATATCTCTATATGGAAACTTGGAGCCCTCAATCCACAATAAAATGGTTCATCAACAGTCAGTGGTTAACGTATAAATCAGAAAATCAGTATGACAAAAATATTAAACATATTGTCCACTTATGTTGATAAAGATGGAGTTCATTTAAGTCTTATATGAATGTTTTGCAACAATGTTAATCTAGTCAGGCAGATTTTTCTCATGTGTCAACTGTCAAGACTTATTAATTTTCCTCTCCATCAGCTTCTGTATCCATGTGTTCAGCTGAGCTGCTGATTGGAGGCTCTGCCTCTCAGTTATCCTCAGTTTGAATTTCATTAATCTTTGAGGACTGAAGACCAACACACTTGTGTCTATTGAAACGATTACGCCATTAAAATCTTTTGTTGCAAACATTGCAGCTGTATATTTCCTCTCTTGTGTGGACTCTCATGTGTGCCTTTAAACTTGAACTCCTTGAATAAGCTTTCTTACACACTGAGCAGCTGTGTGGTTTCTCTCCTGTGTGGACTCTCATGTGTTCCTTTAAATGTCCACTCATTGCAAAAGATTTGGTACAAACTGAGCAGCTGTGTGGTTTATTTCCTGTGTGGACTCTCACATGTGCCTTTAAACTTCCACTCTGTGAAAAAGTTTTCTTACAGACTGAGCAGCTAAAGGGTTTCTCTACCGTGTGGATACTCATGTGTCTCTTTAAATGTCCACTCTGTGAAAAACCTTTCTTACAGACTGAGCAGCTGTGTGCTTTCTCTCCTGTGTGGACTCTCATGTGTCTCTTTAAACTTCCACTCTGTGAAAAAGCTTTCTCACAGACTGAGCAGCTGAATGGTTTCTTTTCAGCACTAAATATTGGATCACTGACAGATTCATGTCTATTTTTCAGTGAGTTTGAGCCTGATGCAGGTTCTCTGGTCTCCTTCCAATCAGCACTGTCTTCAGTGTCAGGTTCAGAAGAGTCTTCAGTGTCAGGTTCAGAAGAGTCTCCAGTGTCAGGTTCAGAAGAGTCCCCAGTGTCAGGTTCAGTCTTTGGTTGTAAACTGCTCTCTGGATCTGAGTTCCTGGCTGGTTCTGGTCCTCGACAGTCATCTCCATCAGCTTCTTTTTCCATGTGTTCAGTTTGTCTTTGATGAGGCTGTGAGGACTGAGGTTTCTCTTTATCATCTTCACTCTTCACAGGGTCAGGAGTGAAAGTGGACTTGGTGATATCAGCCTCCTCCAGCTCCTGAAGCTGCTCTCCCTCCTGACTG